GTCTGAAGCCCAATCATCAGCACTATATTCAGTATTTGGCCAACAGACAAAGATAAGACACTGCTAGTTACACATACATCGCAATTTAGAAAAGCATTTTTAATATGACGATGAAATTGTATATTTGTTTGATTCGCTGTTGAAAGAAAACGTTGATAGTGAGAAAGCGGAGGCTTTGTTCTTAGCGAAACTAACATTGTTGATTTCTTCAGAAGACATACGGTCAAATATAATTTCGAATACAATGACATTATTGAATCACGAAAAGTATTCTGATTTTTAAAACTTGCGTTGTCATCTGATACAATTCCAGATAAAAACATCAATGATCGATCTGACAAGTTTAAAGTTCTTAAAACACTCTTTGATATAAAACACACTTTTATGCCTTCTCAGGTATGTCAAGAGCTGTATTCAACCTCGAATTTGGCAGAAGGTTTTTTTCACATGCAAAAGCACTAATACATGGTCGAATTCCAACACTATTGGAAGCGGCAAAGGCTTTTGTATTGGACACACACCAACTCCAAACGAACAAAAATACACTTTCTGAAAAACAGATGAATGCTCTCAAACTGCTGGTCCCAATTAATGTCATACCCAAACTTACTTCAAAAACAGTTGATTTACTTTTGGACAGCTTTTGTACGTTTGTTTGTATGAGTAAATGTTCGTTGGGTAATGGATGTAATTGTGAATGTGAAATGTATTTTGAAACGGGGGTTCCTTGTTGTCATATGATATACTTCAGAAAAAGAGGAGGTGATGTGTTTTTTGACCCGCGTTGTCCACTAGGATACTACATAAACATCAGGGGTAAAACACGACTAATCGTGAAGGGTCCTTGTTCTGCACCACTTTTTACTCAAGATGATTTTGCAGAAAAATGTTTAATTATCGAAAATATAGTTACTATTCATGAAGTTAAAGTCGTTTCTGATAATAACACTTTAGGTGATAATGTTGTCAAAAAGAAATTGTTTGATTTAACCCGCAATTTGAGGAAAAAACTGTGTTCAAAAAAGTCGTTTGTTTTGTTGAAGAAATTGACAAATTACGAGAAGACAAAACGGGATATGAAAATGACGAAGTAAAAGACCCTTTGGTTATAGCGTGTGCAGGAAAGAAAAAACTAAAACTTCAAAGAATGTCGATGAATCATTGTCAATAAAACGCAAAAAACAAAAACAAGAAAAAAAGAACAAATCAAAGATTTTTAAAAAACCAAAAAATGATTGATTTTTTTACAAGTTAAAAATATTTCTTGTTGTCTTTTTAATTGTTTTTTAATAGTAAACATAATTATATAATATAGTTTTTTGGTGTAAAATTGTTTCTAATTAGTTGTATTAAAAATTAACTATATTAACAAATGTATACGTGTTGGGTTTGGGTTTAAATCTTATTCACCATAATTTATTGGATAATTAAATAATAAATATTTTGATGACTTTATTTTAAAATAGGAATTATACCATAGATAGTTAGATAAACATTTTTAGACAGAAACATTAATAAATCCCAGATTGAAACGAAATAAGAACACAAAAATCCAAATGGGCGACAAAACGTTTAAGATGATTTATGAACGTCTCAAAAAATCGGACGGTTCTTTAGATGTCAAATCTTTCGTTGAAACAAGTGTGAAGTTGATTGAGCAAATAGAACATGGAAAGAGTGAGGAATACAAATTTTCGAGTAAAGATTTTCCAGAGTCTAATAACGAAAAGACGACAATAATGGTTGAAAAACTTGCTTTCATTTCTGGAGGACTTGAGAGTTCAAATACACTGACCAAAAATTATGCGAATATTCTTGTTAATTTTCTAGAAAAACTTTATAACCCAAATGAAAGACAGAAAATGCGACACATCAACAAATTCATGTTTGAATGTATAGATTCAAACCACGATGGTGTTCTGAGTAAAGACGAGTTTAAAAAATTCATACAATTTACTAACAAAGAAATTTTCAATAAAGAGGAGAACGAACAAAAAATATCCGAGTTGTTTGACAAAACTGATATTAACAACGACGGAATGATTTCATTTGAAGAGTTCCAGATACTTTTAAAAACAATATGAATGCATAATTCAAAAAATTCTACTTTTGTGTTATTTAAAAGTTTCGTTGTTTTATGGAAATACTACAAACGATAAATTAAATTATACTTCTGTCAAGATTAACTAAATTGTGTGTATTTATATTTTTATTTAGAGAATACTTTTTATAAAATGTAAAAGTTAAGTGATTTTACGATATGTGTAAGTTATCACAATAAACTCACCTGGGTATAAAGTAACTCATATTAACTTTTAAAATTTGAATAGTTGTCATTTTACTATATAACAAACTGCAAACATTAAAAATTATGTTTAGTATATTCATTTGTTTAAATTTAAGTCATTATTAAATTAAGTTTCAACTTATACATATTATTCATATTTGTCAAATCATTTACGTTATTAACATGAAGCCTCGTGTTTAAATATTTAAAAATGAAATGATTTATTTATTTTGTTCTATATTTTTAAATAAAAATGTGGTTGTAAATAGTATTTTTTAAACGGTTATTATAATATCACTAACAATTTATAATTGTATTTGTCTAAATTAAACTTTTTTAATTGTAGTGGTGTTTAAAAAATATAATGATTTTAAGTACTGTGAAATGAAAGATATATTAATTATGGGCAAGTAAAAATATAATAATATATATTTATCATTTGTATATAAATGTTAAAGTAAAGTTGTTGTATAATAATTGTGGATAACAATGTGGTGACATAATATAATTGGTTATACAGTATAATCTGGGTTTAATTCCAGTCCGGGTTTAATTAAATAATCGGGTTTATTTCATTCGAAAATAATTAAACCCGAAGTAAGAAAAAATAATAAAAACAACACTTTTGAGTTTTAATATCATAGCCTTGTTTTTTTTGTTTAAATTTATGGAAAATAATTGGGTTTTTACCTAAATTAATCAGAATATTTGTTTTTGAATAAAAATGCATTATTTTTGTTTCTGAAACTATTTTTCGGTACTATAATATTATAAATTACTTATTATAAAATAATGAATAAATAAAAACAAACATAATAAACTCGTGTTTTTATTCGTTTTTATTTATTTAAACAGACTTGTTTTACCACCACCTTAACAAAGTATTTGCCGCGATGTTTTTTGAATGAAGTCCATATTTAAGCCACTGTTTGTGCGTCCCCATGTCACCACTTTCCTCCTCCGTATTGTTTGGACGCTGTGGTTCCCTTTTCAAACGGGGCGGTCATTGGGATCCGCGCCAAGGAGGACATTGAGAGTGTGTGAAACGGTGCACAAACAGACCGCCTGTGCCTTCTTTTCTTTAATCGTCGCACGCAGTTTTTACTGTTACGAGTTGAATTATCGACACATTTTTAATTCGGGAACCAGACCAATTATTATCCCAAGCTCCCAATTACTATAATTTTAATTAAAATATTATATTAAATAGTTAAAAAACTTTATTTTTAGAGACGATAAAAAAGTATTTACCAATATAGTCGGGGGATAAATAGCATTAAAAAGGGACAAAGGTAGTTAATTTTGATAAATATAATTTTGAAACTATAATTTTTAAAAAATCTATTTAAAGGTCAAAATAAACATAAAATTAAAATATTAATTTAAATTATAGTTTTTTAATTTTAAATGATTATAAATTGAATAATTATAAATTTCTATTTCAAAAATAAACAAAAACACCTCAATTTGTTCACTTAGAGAAATGTGGAAGTCTAAAACGCAGCACTTTTTGTGGTTTGTCTGAAACTTGTTTTGTTAAAGGATTTTCCTTTGTTTTTTCCTTTGTTTCGTTTCTTTTCTGCTCTTCTTCAACTCCAATTGTTTTGGTGTTAAAATGGTCTTTCTCTTTTCCTTTCTCAATGGGAATGGTTCAACAACGAAAGATTAAAAGATTTCAACAAATGATGGATTTTCAGTGATTCTGTGACACTTTAAAAGATTGACATTGTAGTTAATTCATTAAACTCTGGCATTTTAACCATATACATCATGAATATATATTGAAATACAGTTTTTAAACTGGTTTCTTGTATTTAAATTGCTTTTTTTGTGTTGATTGCCTGTGGTTGTTTCATCGAGGGTTCCTTACTCTTCTTCTTCCATTGTTTTCAAAGATTGAATAATATCAAAAATAAAAAGTTATGGTTTTCTTTTATTATCTTCAAAGTAGTTAATTGAAAAAACCCTTCTAATACTTTTATGGTTAAAGAAATTATATTTTATAGTTTTTTACTCAAATTAACTACTTCTGTCCCAAATTAACCCCCTTTATCACCCGACTATACCATTTGTTTTTGATTGAATCAAATAATTATTAAATAATTATAACTATGAAACTACCGAAAGTTAATTCCATCAATTATTTTTGTTTTAAAAATCATTCAAAATAATTTTCTTGAAAAAAGTGGAATTAAACCCGATAGTTCCAAAATATTTTAAGTGAATTAAACTCGGATTATACTGTATTTATTTTTTGTGATTTTTACATTCAATAAAAAATGTCACAGTAATTCAACGTAAGCTACTGTGACATATTAGTATTGTCACATCTCATATTGAGATCAGAAATATTATAAATAATCTTTTAATTTTAATTTGTAAAACATATCAACAAAAATAATAACACGAATGATTATCTCTTATTTATACATTCAAATGTTTCGCAATGCCTTAAACTTCGTTATATGGAAAATTAAAAAAATAGTACAATCCAGGACAATTTTTAAAAAGTGTAAAACAATACACTTGTTTTTATTAACAAGATTTATTTAAACGTTTTTTAAAAAATTAATGATATAAATTATTTTTAAAAGTTTAAATTATTTCAATTCAACCAATTCAATAAATATTTTTCATTATTTGTCTTGCAATTAATATCTGACAATATCTTCTTTTTGATATTAAACGGTTCTTGTTTGTTTTTTATAATGTTGATTAAATAATGTGATTCAGTTCTTTGGGTCAGTATTTCAACATTACAAACTTTAACACTATAAAATAGTTGTTATATTTAACTGTGTTTGTAATAATAATAGACTTTGGTGTTATTTGTTATTTGTTTATTGTATACAAATTATTTTTATTTTAGTAATAGATAAACAATTGAAACTGGTTGTTTTGGTTTAAAAAAAACGTGTAAAATTGTTTGAGATGACTAAGTTTGGTTTTCATCATTTTAGTTTCAAACTATTTAATGTTTTAACTTTAAAATATTATTTAATTTTAATATCACTTATTACAAAACTTTATTATATACTGTATCATTTAACACGTTGAAACTTTGTTTTTTCTGTTTTATATTAAAAAAATAAAAAGGTTGATGTTTTATTTTTTTTGTTGAGTGTAAAAATAATTAAAAAAGAGGAAAAACATGTTTGAGCTCCTTTGTTGATTTTTATCCTTGTGATTTTATTAAATTTAATATTCAAATGATAACAAAAATCACTAAGATATTCGAATTATTGTTATTATTGATTATCTCGGAGTGTTTTATAACTTGTAGCAATTTGCTTATACGACGAACGTTTGTAATAAGCTTTTTGTCGCCACTCGAAGTGACATTTCATTGACTCGATTCACATGAATTCATAGAGTGTTTTTATCGGAAATATACATACTTACAATTAAAGAAAATAGATCGTTTGTTTTTGTTTTTTCTAACATAATTAACTTCGACAACCGTCTCTAAAATTAAGTATCTTCATCATAATATTCAACGTTAAACATATTACTTAATTCGATATTGACTTAAAAATTACTAAAAAACAACACAAACTGTTATTCTTTGAACTTTTGTTTTTTATAATCAATGGAGTCTTTTTCATCAAAGACTCAATCAGATATTATCGTTTTGAATTTTAAATTATTTAGTATAAATGTTATTTAAAAATATTTTTTTTTACTTTTTCGGCAAAATAGTATGTAGTTTTTTATAGGAAAAAAATTTTGGGAAAAAAACATAAAATAAACTCCAACGTGTGAAACTGTTCAAAATCAAAAATGATACAAATTTTAAAATGTAATATAATAAATTCAAATGTAACAACATTTTCTTTATTGAATTCAAATGACGATATCTTTCATAATGACAACCATATTATGATTGAACATATTAAGTATGTCTTGATAAAAAGTCAATCAATCGATTTGATTTTTATTTTATACGATTTTTAGAAACGATATTTTAATAACAAGAGAATTATTTAAGTCTGTAAAAAAATGTTATTTATTTTTGTCTTTTCAGCACAGTCTGCAAATAAAATAATTTTACTGACGACAAATTTGGCCAATTGGTCAAGTCTTTGATTAAGTAAATAGTTAAATAACAATTTAAATAAAAACTATATTTTTTTATTTTTAAGATTAATTATTTTATTATTATATAACCATTGGAATAGTAAATTATTTTTTAAGTGAGTTACTTTTATAAAAGTGAGTTAAAAAGCGAAGAAGTGAGTTTTAAAATCGAGAAATGAGTTAATAGCCATAGAAAATGATTTATTTCAATTGAAGAATACAAATTCAAATAACTTTAATTATAAATTATTATAATTATTATCAGAAAACGACTCAATTTGATCTTTTATTTTAATATAAACTCATGTGGTTGTATCTGAATAATAGAAACTATTATAATTACCATAAAAATAAGAATATATAATACATTTATTACCTCATCGATATTTCTTCGCAACACAACCCTTAATAAACAAAATTAACTTGAGAATAAAACCAGTAATGAGTAAATCAACACCTCAATATTACGAATGGACCGACGTTGAACCAATGTTTCTCCAAAACTTTCAAAATTCGGTCCTTCACTTCATAGACTTTGAATTTGCAAATCAATACAGTGCAATTCCTGAGACTGACGAAATAGGGGTTTCGACTGTTTCCCTCGCAAATCCGGCTGAACACGATTCTTTCCATGTTATCATTCGCTGTAAAAAGAGTGACAAATACGCCTTCAAAATCCATGGAATCAACTCCAATTCACCAAGTTACCCGACACAGCGTGTCGGGTTTGATCAGTTTGTAAAATACTTGTCCAAGTACTCTGGTCTTAAAATTTTTGTTGTTAAAGATGAGACTATTAATGGAGGGGATGTTAAAGTGATGAATTCAATATTCAAAACGAGTGACATTCAGTACACTATACTTACACATCACATGCTAATTAGTTGTATACTTCGTCACTTTGGCAAGGAATTTGATGAAAAAATAATTAAAAAAGACGTCAATATGTATTATAAACATTTACACATCTCTGAAAAGTGCGAGTACCACACTAAATTGGACAAGAAGTTCCACTGCGCTTTGAGTGACGCTAGAAACACCTCATTGTCTGTTTTTGCCCCTTTAAAAGCCCTTTGCAACGAGTTGGTGTTTCAGAACACAGAACTCATTCCCGTCTATGAGGTACCAAAATTTGAGTTGTCCGACGGCTCGAGTTTTATAATATGTTTATGTAACACTTTTGGTATGCGAGACTCAGTGTATGAAATTTTAATGGAAGAAGTCACTTATCAAAATGGGACGTTTATCGAATGCGACAAGGAAGAGATGTGCTTTGAACACTTTGTACCGCCTCAAGTGAAAGGACGAGCATTTCCAGAGATCTATAAAAAGTTGACTAGTGCATATCCCGATGTTGAAAATCACAATAAGAAAGCACACAAAAATGTCTTGCAATATGTCCAAGACCACAATGGAATGTATTTAGTCAGATTTGGGTTTTCTGAGAGGGAAACCAACTTTGATTTTTCAGAGATGTACTTGATGGGAAAATATGATTTGTGTGATAAATTTTATAGACAATGTGGTGGGAAAGAACAATTTTGTCCTTCAGTGTTTTACAATAAAGTAGAAGAACTTGGAAGTGCCGTTTTGGTGTTACGTGGAGAGACTGACGAAACAAAGGAATTTGTCTGTAACATCCACAAAAAAACTGGATTTGAAAATAAATGCGTGTGCGAAGTGAAAAAAAGATATTTGAGAGGACTTGAAGAACTCGCAAGGAATCGGGCATTATTTGATAAGCTTGAAATAGACATGAAAACACAATTCGAAGAAATACAAAAAGAAAAAGAAAAGGAGAAACCAACTAAACCAAAAAGTGAACTAAAAACGAAGAAAGAAAGTCAAACAATAAAACCAAAAACAGAAAGAAGACAACCACGCATTCCAAAACGAGAAAAAACAGGATTGCAATTGCCAGAAGATCAACAGAAAGTTCACGCTATTGATGATACTTATATTACACAAGAACAAGCTTCAAAAGATAAAGAGTCTACAAATGGCAAAATAAAGGGACCCAAAAAACCAGTAATCCCACGAAGAAAGGTTAATTAAGCTTTATTTTTTTTTCATTTTTATATTACATTTTTTAATAAAATAAACTTGTTATTATAGGTTGAATAACAAATATTTATTTGTTATTCAAATGAATATATTTTAAACCCGTACCAGTGCCACCAAAAAATTTTTTATTGGAAGTGAATTTTGAAAATTTTGTTCCAACCCATCAAAATTTTAAATGTGGTGGTGGAAAAAAATTAATTCCAATAACCAAATAACATTTGAGGTTTATAGAAATGTTATTATATAAACCTTCAACGATAAATATATAAAGTCAGTTACAAAAATAAAGAAGGCAAAAATAGCAACATAAAAATGACCAATAAAAAATGTAAAAAAAGTTAAAAAACATTAAAGATTACTTTTTTCATATTCTTTTATTCTTTTAGACTTCTTTGTAATGTTTAGCAAACATAAATTATTATAACGAGTCAATTAATTATGCACAACTTCTTGTTCTTATCACATTTGTATTTTTTGGTTCATTTTATAAAGTTTTGATATAGTTGTTTAAAGAATGTAAAACCGCCCTGTTTCTTCCATGGGTATAACAGTCATACCTCTGATTGACTCATTTCAATGCCCGTTTCTCCGTGTTATCAGGAAAAGAGAATTCTTGTCGCTACCGTCATACCCCAAACCAAAGTTCATCCCCTGTTACCACTTTCTCAGTCTTTTTTTCGTGACTTTTTGACTATTGATAAAGAACTTTTAGTTTTTTTCCCTTTCATGCGTAAACGCATTTTAAGCTCAGTTTCTTCTACTGAATCTACATTTGTTGTTTAGGATCGATTCACCACAATCCAATTAATGTTGTCTAGGAACCTTTCTCCTCTTCAGTCCTTAGATATTTTTTTCCTCTTCTAAGTATCTGCTACTTCCACCAAGATCTGAACCCAAGTCTGTTCCAATAGAAATTACTTCTCTACCTTTATCACTCCTGTGTTCTTGACACTATGCATTTCCTTACTCCTTGTGCGATCTATGTTGTAAATATTTTGTAGATGGAGTTTTCAAAATGTGTAAACTTTTGAGAGAAATTCATTTTTGTTTACTTTTTTTATTTTTATAAATTTGTTTGAGGTGATTTGTTTATTTTTTCTTTTATAATAATTACGTCTTATGTATGTTATTACAAATAATTTAAAATGAATTATAATCTTTATAAAGTTTAATATTTTAAATAAAAAAGAACAAAAAGCTTTTTATTTTTAAATAATACAACTAATTTATATTAATTATAATTATCTATACAAAAATTGGCATAAGGTGTAATGACCACACTAAATTTACTGTTTTGTTTTATAAATTTAAATAAAAATGGCAATATTTTCATTATTATTAAAAACCGCCTTCATAAGTCTAAAATTGTATAAATTTGCCGGCACTTGTCATGTTTTAAGAAAATTCGTTATTCATGGAATTTACAAATTGAAGAAAACCATTAATATAATAATTGTTTTATTATTTTTTATAGCAAATAAATACAAAACATTTATTTTTATAAAATAATTTCAATTTATGTATTTTTTATTAAATAATTATTTAACTATTATATACTAAAGTAAAGAGGTTTATTATCAGCATATTGTTTACTATATATTATAGTTTTATTTCATTAAATTATTAGATTATTAAATAATGTATATATCCCAGTTTTTAAAGCATTATATTTATTGTCTATTAATATCTTTAATTATTAACATTAAAAATAATTATTATTAGTTTTAGTTTAATAAAATAAAAAAATTACAACTAATTATAATTATTTATATAATATATTTACTACTCGCAGGTTTATGATTTATAATATTTTACTAATGATTGCATTTAATTAATAAATAAGTACGACACTTATATTAAAAATGGTAATTTTAAAAATGATTTTGAATTTTTTGGGTTAAAAAATATTCCCATTGTTTAAATGAAATTCACTTCCAATAAAAACATACCTTTTGGTGGCACTGCCCGAACCCAACACATCTACAGTTGACCAAATAATTGTGAGAAGGATGTATTTCCCAATAATTACCAAAAAATACCATGTAAATAAGAAGTGAAAAAAGGTTCACCAAATAATAGTAAGACACTTATTTTTGTTGCTTTCTAAAATAACCCAAATAGCGATAAAAAATAACTTAAAAAAATAAAACAATGTTGAACTTTTTGGACGTTTTATTGTTTTCATTGTGGTTTACTCTGGAAATGTCTCGCCGTAAAAGATGTTCATAGTCCTCACTCCCCAATGGTTGTTTTTATAGGGGTTATTAATTGCAACGAAGCAACTTTATGGAACTCGTTGTTTTTCCAATCTTTTTCTGTGTGATAAGGTTTGGTTTGTTGTCAATCTTTCGTCAATTACTTCTTGAAACCCTCGGTTTCAAACACCAAACCACGATTTAAAATACTCATTTTAAGAGAAGCTTTTAAGACCCACTTAGTGTTTATCAGTTTATTGAGCGGGATTTAGTTTTTTTGTTTTCTTTCACTGTTGTTCAAGGTGCGCAAATTAAAGAAGTTGTGAATGTCAGAAAATCACAAAAAACTTTACTTATTATTTTTGCCGTTGCAGACGTTCTGGCACTGTACTGAATGTCAAGTTTCTTGGTATAGAAACAAGAGGAAATTGTAGTTGATATGGTTGCCTGTTAGAAACGTGTATTTCAGCTGGATTGATGGTGACATTTGAAGAACGATGAAACGTAGGAGAAACAAAATATCTATCTAACATTTCATTACGTTGGTCGCATTCTGCGTTTCCCATTCTTCGACAAACTCCTAAACTCCATGTTGTATCACTTCCAATATTATCAGATGATGATTTCTTCCTCGAAAATGATGGTAATATCTCATCATTAGCTTTCAAATAATATCTATTCTCTGAAAGTCTGGCCTTGTAATTATTGACATCGGCCTCCTTAGGTTGGTAATACTCCGAAAAAGCTTTTAAGTTCAACAACGAGCCGGTGATGTTGTCCAAAACTCGGTCCATCTCAATATCACAAGATATTTCTCTTACCCGAGTAAGGGACATTTCTGTCATTTCTTCCATCTTAAAAAAGTCTTTGAACAGATCGTTAAGGCGTTCTTTTTCTTCATCGTTATTTATGGTGCATAAATTCACAACTTCTATCTGTTGGCTCTCAGAATGTTGGGGTAAGTTGCTTACTCGTCTCATGGTAGTTGTCCCATTAATCGACTTTTTAACAACTCCAAAAAGCACAGATCCAGCGGTTGCATCAAATAACTTGAATGTGGCGCATATGTGTGGAGCCGAATGTTGTTCGCGTATAACATCCCCAAAAGAACTCCATCTATATGTCCACTAAAATTATCCATTGCAATAGTTGTCCATTCTTCCAAAAGATTTAGAAGTGCCCTTTTCTTTACAATCTTCACAACCAGATCGGCAATGTAATACGCGAAAAGGTTTTTGGTCGCATATCCATTGGAAGAATAAAGAATCATTAGGTCCGGATATGAATTCTTCACTTCTGAGAAATAGCTCTTTTGACTCACAATCAAAGCGTACGAAGTTGGTTGTCCATCGGCAGAAATACAACATATTGCTATTGAATGTTTCACTGAATGACTGACTCCATAAGTTTTTTTGGAAAGTTTCTTCGGATTGTTTAACGATAAGATGGAGTTTTTTTGTCTGCCTAGTCATTTGAACCCATCTCATCGATGTTGAAAAAAGCGCCGATGGGGTACCATCGACGGCTTTGAGATCATTCATGTTCTTTATAACTGATTCATAACTTAATTCAATTCGATGATAATCATCATCATTCATTTTTTTTTAAAGTGTAACCTAGTTTGTCTCTTAAATGAATGCGCACAGCTTCTCTTGTGATGTTTTCCAAATCAAAGTGTTTACCCAACAAGACCACGATTCCACTCAGCAAACAAGAAAGCCCAAGTGAATGCAGTTTGTCCATCATACTGTTTATTTCATGATCCATATCCTTCGTTATCTTACCCTTTGGTCCACGACACACTTCTTCAATTTCCTTCTTCAATTGACAGTCGATTGCTCCACTTGAACAACCAAACATTAATCCTAAAAGCGAAAGCGATGAGCCGTCAATACTTTTCAAAATCTTTATCTGCCCTCTTCTTGTTGTCAAATTGGAAAAAACGTCGTTTTTGAAAGCCGCCTCGAGCAAAATAACTGCTTTTTGTTGTTTTTTCCTTTATTTTTTTTTCGTGGAAAATGTTATCTGTCATTTGTTTCTTAGAAAGTGCAAGAAGTCTTTGACAATTGAATGAAATGATTGGGTCTTCTTTTGGTTCAGACATGTTTTTTTAAGTTGTTGGTTTGTTTTCATGTTTTTATATATTTAGCTTTTTTAAAACAATAAATTGTTTCATGAAATCTATTTTAATATAGTTCTTGATTAAAGTTATAAAACTATTTAATTTAACTTCTTACAATTATTTGGTCTCTGACTATTACTTGGTCAACTGTACATTTTATTTTTTTAATAATTTATTAAAATATAATAAAAAGTAAAATTAATTACAATTATTATAAATAATTGTAATTAATGATAATAGTTCTATTTTTCACTTTTTGTTGGGAAAAAGTAAAAATAAAAAAATTAACGAATAAAAAATTGCAAAAATGTTGTGGTGTTTATGAAGCATGAAATTTATAATTTTAAATATATTTTTAATACAATATTTATTATTCATTTGTATAGTCACCCACCAAAAGCAATGAAAACACGACAAATGGTCTAAAGAAACTATAATTTATTATTTTATACTATAATTATAAAAAACAGTAAAAATAAAATAAATAAAACGAAAAAGTCAAAAATAAAAAAAAATCACATTAAATCATTTTTTTGTCAAGTTTTTTAATTGGTTTAAAAGACGATGGCAATCTTAAAACAATGGTTTCTTTTTTTCTTAATCTTTTTTGATACTTTAATGCTCTTTTTACTTCCCTTTCTTTTTTTTAACTTCAATTTGGATAAAGTAATACT